GGGGGGGGTGACAAGGAAGAAAAAGAAAAAATGAAAAGAAAAAGAAAGTGGAGGTGTGTGAAGGGAACGAAGAAAATAGGAGAGAGACGTGTGCTGCGTCTGCCGATAGGAGGAGCCCGGCCCTCGTCAGCTGCCGTCCTCGACGCTGCTGCGGAGGGGTGACGGCGACGACGCGGACGCGGGTGTGCGTAGGCGTGTGCCGTGCACGCACCGGCTGTGGGGGACGCGGCAGGGGCGAGGAGGCATTAAAAAACTTGGGAAAGGGAAGGACAAAGAAACTAAAACAAACGAACGAGAAAAAAAAACAGCATACGCATGAGTAGATATTGCCCGAAGTCGCAATCGCAGTCTCCAACCGTGTCAACTACACGCCCAGCGCGGTGAGAGGTGTCAGACTGAGCGGGGGCCGCAGGACACAAAAACTGTGTCTTGCTGCTGCCGACGGGATGTATGGACGGGGCGTAATAGGGAGGGAAGAAGATGAAACATACATGTACATGCCCAAACACACGCACGCCTTAATTATTTTTTTCTTATTGATAGCCTGAGTGACCGGAAAAGCCGGATCCGCGGAACCGAGGACGTTCAGCACGGCAGGATGAGCAAGAAAAGAAGAAGAAGCAACTAAAAAGAAACGCATGTTTTTTTGTTACTAACCAGGAATCAATCTCAGAAGCAAAGGGCGGGTTAGGACGGCGGGGGCGGGACGAGTAATGGCGCATCTGCTTTTGATGTTTTCACCGGGTATGTTGTAGTTATTATCGTCATTTATGTGTGTATATATTCTCTTTTCATTATATATATATATATGTATGCGTGTCTGTGCGTTGGTGAGGGAGGACTTTGCGGCTCCCCACCCGTTCTGGCTGAGTTGTTGAGCAAGGCGGCTCCTCCTTCTTCTTCGTCATTCGTTTGGGCTTCACCTTTGCCCTTTTCCTTTGTGTGGTGTTTCCTTTTGCTCCTTTCTTTTCTTTTTTGTCTGTTTCACTCCACAGTTCGCCTCATCGCTTGAGGGGTGAGGGAAAGTTTCCTCGCGACGGTGTGGGGCTTGCGTGTTGTTGGTGCGTCTCACTCCACACAAATGTCGCTGGGGGCGGTGACTGGCGAGCCGCGGGGCGACGCGCTGCTCCGCGCCAACTTGGAGTTCCTGGCCTCGCTGAGCCCGCCGGCCGTCAGTCCCGTGCTGCCGCAGCTGCCTGGCGGGGCGGGTCTCCTCCCTGACGACTTTCAGCTGCCCCCGACGGCCGCGGGCGGCGAGGCGGCGTCGATTGTCTTGCAGGTAAATGCCGTGGAGGATGTCTCGCTTCCGATGGCGCAGCGATTACGGGCGATGGCGCCGGCCCCAATGGCGGAGGCGCAGGGCGCCGACGTGGAGCTCCCACCCGCCGCGGCGGGAGACGAGGCGCGGCAGATTTCAGTGGACGAAATGCTGCGCTCCATGGAGGTCGATGAGCCCGCCTCACAGCGGCGTGGGCGCCGCCAGCGGCTGCTCCGGCTTATCCTCACCGACGGCTTTACGCGGGTTATCGCCTTTGAGGACTTCCGTCAGGGATGTGACGCGCTGCGGGGAGGCGTGACGTGGGGCGCCAAACTGCGCATTCTCGCCCCATTGCAAATACGGCACGGAGTGCTAATCCTGAACTCGCAGCAGACTGTGATGCTGGGCGGGTTTGTGCCGGAGCTGCAGGAATTCTGGGAGAAGCACGCAACGGCGGCGCTCGAGGAGATGTCTGGGCGACCAAAGAAGCGGGTGCAGCAGGCGGTGGAGGGGCCGCAGCGGGTTGTAGCGTCGCCCGCGCCTGAAGGAGCGGCGACGCAGGCCCACACCGCGGCACAACAGCAACAGCAACAGCAACAACAGCAGCAGCAGCAGCAGCAGATGGAAGCGGCAGGAGCGGCATTTGCGGCCCCACGGCAGGCTACCGCAGTGGTCTCCCTACGCAGCGAAGACGTTGCGCTCCCTCCCCCCTCACAGTCCTCCTCGCTCCACGCCTCGCAGCCCTTGCCTCTCTCCGCGTGGCATGCGCATCGCCCACGCACCGCCCCTTTTAGGACACTTGCGGTGATCAGAGAGGTGAGATCTGACCTAAAGATTCAAGAATACCCTGCGCTTCCGCCAGGCGAGGCGAAACGGTTTTCACTCTTCGTCCTGCTCGCCACTCCCCCGGATGGCGTCAACGGGGGCTCGCCGACGACGCGAGAGCCGGAGCTCTTGGTGGACATTGGTCATGCCTGGCTGCAGCAGGCACTCTGCATGGGCCCAGAGGCGTTCTGCACGCTCTGCTGCTCGCGCCAGCCCGAGGAAGTGGCACGGCTTGAGGCCTTGTTGGAGGGCGTGGGGCGGGCGCTGGAGAGCCTCGACGTGGCGGTCTTTGTCCTGCAGCAACGCGCGACCGACGGCGTCGTCGAGGTGGTGGAGGTGCACCGGCCCCGCTCCTCCCCCGCCGCGCCCTCGTGAGGCGGGGGGACACAGAAACCGAAGAGAAGACGATGGGTTTGGGGGGGTGGGAGGGGAGAGTTCGTGTCATTCCGAAGTAGGCGGGGACCGCGAGGTGGCGGCCGCTGCGGGCACAGTGGGCGGCAACAGAAGCGAGGGAAATGGCATTTCTCCGCACTCCGCACGCCTGTCACGTGCCCAGCGTTGCACCACCGACGAACGGGGGGGGGGGGTGTTTGTGGGCCTAACGGGTTGCCTGGACAAAAACAAAAAGTATGCCCACTAGTTTATCGTCGTCCCCTATGCCTGCTCACCACAGAGATCGATGCAAGGGCTAGGCGTTGAGGGGCCACCAAACCCGATCCGCTCTTACTGCTCCGTGCAGAAGGCGGACCAGAGACGCTTTCGACACCTCCATTCCTGTGTCATTGCCTACCCGCCGAAGTGAGTGCGACGGAGGGGTCCTCTCAGACTCTCTCGCGTCCTCTCGTGGTTGGGGTGTTGCACGCGTGTCTACTTTTGTGTTCATGCAGGCAGTGCGAAGTAGCATGCGTTGCGTTTTCTCTCTTCCACGCCTCATCTTTTGCCTAGAAAAAAGGGCAAGACGCGGACTGTTCCAGGAAACACACGCACACACACACACATACAAGTAAAACCCATAAAAGAGATCTGGGGCAGCATCACCGCAGAAATACCGAGACTACACCAAAGAAGGAGGCGGCACACAGGCAAAGAGGGGGAGGGGGAGGGAGAGGGAAGAACGACCGCGGAAGATGGGCTGTGGCTACTCCGTCTACTCCACTAGCGGAGACATCATCTTCAAGCACAGGGGCCCCAAAAAGGGGGCCCGGAAGGTTATCAAGATGTTTGAGAAGGAAAACGGACTGCTGTTCCGTCTGGAGATGAATGGTGGGCAGTGGGCCTTCTACAACGACACCAAGGAGTACGAGTTCTACGTGCAGTACGTCTTCGAGGATGGCAGCGAGGTGGAGCCTCTCGGCGACGCGACCCTGACGGAGATGGAGGACGGCACCACAATCGTGGAGACCACCGTGTACCCGCTGGAGACGCAGATGTTTCTTTCAGGCGACATCACCGGCGGCCACGGACGAATTGAGGCCCGCCCCCTCTCGGAACGCTATAGGCGGGAGAAGCTAAAGATAAAAATCGCACGTGGCTCATGAGTTCCACCCTTGTGCTTATTATTATTAGAGTGGTCGTGGCGGTCGATGTGCACAGCAATCGTTCTTTCGCACACTCTTGTGGAGGGGGCGACAACGGCCGGAGCGGAAAAGGGGTGGGGGCCGGTGGGAGGCAAAGCGAAGAAAGCAAAAAAAAAACAACAACAACAACTGTGAAGTGGTGCGTGGCACCGCCGCTCGCGCTGCTAGAGACGCCGCAGGCCTTCGGCCTCAGTTTTCCCCCCAAAGAATAAACTGTTGTGTATTACATAGTCGTGGTGGTTACTGATTTATTTGCATAGTATGTGTATGAGGTTTGTATTTATTTATTTATTTTCTCCTGGGCTGGGGAGTTCTTTACGTGTGCGCGTGTAGGGTTGTGCGTTTGAGGGTTATTGAGAATCGAGAAAAATTTTTGGGGGTGCATTAAATGTGCTTACTTGCGTGTGTGTGTGTGTGTGTTATCCCCGTCATTTTGTGTTATTCCTCTCTGTCTCTCTTACTGAGGTTCTGCTGTGGCGGAGGGTGAACTGTTGGGTCAGACCGGTGTGGGGCATCTGCGCGGGCGCGCTGGCGTTGTGTTACTTCGTCTTCGTAGCCGACGGAGGCAACGTGGGAGGGATGTAAACATGTGCGGGGCGCGTCCCCCGGCCGCCTTGGCCCACCCTTCCGCCGCTGTGCCTGTGCTTGGCTCCCTTGCTTTGCTGCCACTTGTGCGGTGGCGGCGGTAGAAGGATATATGTGTTTCTACCACTATTACGACAGTTATCGTTTTGTCTGCATGTATTTTCCCCCGCACGTGTGCCTTCCTTCGCCTTTCCCTGCATCCCGGTGTTGTGGAGGCTCACGGCGGGGGCGGAGCGACGCTGCGAAGGGGAAAAACTGAAGCGCAATGAGTAAATTTAACGTGCCCTCGTGTGTGGCGCCGGGGAACAAAATAATGATAATAACAAACAAAAACAAAAAAAGAAAAACTGACATTATTCCTCCCTCATTCCCCCCCCCCCCCAAATTTTCTTTCTTTCCTCTCACTTATTGTTGCTTTTCTTTTTGGCTTTTGACGGGTTTCGCGCTAACAACCTGCCGCCGCCGCCGCCGCTGATTGTTGCGCGCGCGCCCACCGTCCCCCTCTACTTTGCCATGATGTGCACTTGTGTGTGTGTGTGTGTTTCGCTCTTTCCTTCTCTATTTGTGTCGGCATGATTGCCACCTTGCCGTGGCCGCCGCTGCGACTACCGTCCCTCGCTTCTCTCTGTTGTTGTTGTTGTTGTTGTTGTTGTTCCTCGTGTCTGCGGCCGGCCCACGTGTGCGGGCAGCGCGTCAGCACGAAGGCACCCAAACCGAGAGGGAGAAAGAAGAAAAAAAGGGGGAAGGAACAAAATTTGCAGAAAACACGCAGGGAGAGAAGGTAGGCGGCCGTGGACAAGAAGGTGGCAGTTGGAGCTGTATCCTCTCGCTGGCGTGGTCCTGCTAGTGAACACATTCGCAGGCACAAGGGCAGAAAGGGAGCGGGCGGCACACACACACACACACAGGTATATATATATACGCTTACATATTTGTTTGGATATACTTGCAGAGTAAATTTGGTTGTGGCGGAGCCGAAGATTCTTCTTTTTTTAACAACAAATTAGGCCTCTTTGTTTCTAGTTGTTGTTTTTTTTTTGCTCTTGCTGGTTAGGTCCACGATCGTTTAAATACTCCCTGGTTGGAAAAGGGGGAAAACAAACGAAGAAAAAGGAAAAAGGGGAAAAAACAAGGGAGGGTCACGTATGCGGCGAATTCTGCAGCCCCCTGCGTGCGGTCTGAGTGGCCTCGTTTCCACGGCGTGTAAGACCGCGACCGGGGCGACGCCTGGCGCTGGCGCCTGCTTTGCAGCTACGCCCATGGCGCTGCTTCTGTCGGCGCGGGCCCAAGGAGGCTTCGGCGGCGGTCGGCCTGCCCGCGGGCAGCGCGGTGGGGGACGGGGTGGAACTGACAGCAGGGGCAGAGGAAGAGGCGGCAGCACCGGCGGTGTCGAGGGTAAGGATGGCATGGTGCGACGCGCGATTATCAACAAGACAGGCGACGGTGAACTCAGCGAACTCACACGCATCGTGATGCGGGACGACTCAAAAATTCTCACGAGCATTGTCAAGCATATTCCGCAAAATGGCGCCATCTCGGTGAAGAGCCTCCACGCTCAGCTCTCACCCGATGTGCAGGAGGCGGTGGCGGAAAAGTACGACGGCCTCAAAAGCTTCCTGGAGCAACGCAAGCAACTGTTCGTGGTGAAGACAAATCCTGCAGACGGTGTGTTGTACGCTACTGCAACGCCGTTGGCATTGCAGAAGCTTGTGGCGCGCGAGAAGCAACGAGAAACGATGCAGGAGATGTTGGGACTTAACCGCCGCGGCGGCGGCAGTCGTGGAGGACGCGGCAACCGTGGGGGAGTTGGGAACCGTATTAATAGCGGTAGGGGGGGAGGCGCGGGTTTGGCGGTAGGGGAGGAGGACGCGGGTTTGGCGGCGGCGGCGGCGGCGGCGGGGGTGGTGGTGGTGAACGTTTCTATGGAGGCCGCGGCGGCGGTGGTGGTGGTGGTGGCTTTAGGGGACGCGGGGGCGGCGGCGGCAGGATGGGCGGTGAGAGCCGTAGCTTCGGTACGCAGGGACGCCGCTGAGGCGC